GAAGGGAAGGGAAGGGAAGGGAAGGGAAGGGAAGGGAAGGGAAGGGAAGGGAAGAAGGGAAGGGGATAAAGCTAAGGAACATTTACAAGCCGTAGCATTTCTGTGAGAATAGCATTGAATGTTTGAGTCATACTCAATACGTGCAAGGATCACTTTTGGAAGATAAGCTCTTCCTCCTGGGCAGGTGGGAGACCAAAGAAACCTGCTTTTTAAGTCATAAATAGCCAACAGATTCTCAAGAAGGTTCTAGCGCAGCTGGTGATCTTAAGGCTCATGCTTCTCAGAAGATGCAAGGCTAGGGTAAAAGTAAAGTTAAAAATTAAACTTATAGTCCATGGCATAATGAGGTCAAAGGATTTAGTATAGGATTTACCAGCAAGTAGAAAAATTCAACGCTGTAAAGTTGACTCAGACATCTTCCTGGGAGGAAGAAGGGGCTGTCCGGTCCCGAACCAGGTCAGTGTGACTCTTGTTCTGTGCAAGTGAAACTAGCCTTTCGTTCTCCAGGGATCTTTAATGGTCCTTTCCTGGCAGAGATCTTCTGGATGGTGATTAGCAATAGAGGGAAATTGTTTAAGAGAATTTGCTTACCTTTTGAGGCTTTTTACAGCAAAAGGCAAAAGAATAATCTTTTAGGAAAGAGTTTGAATTGGACGTTTTGAAAAGGGACACACGGGAAAAACGGATGTAGGCAGTGTTTGAGCTGTCTGTGGCTATGCGCCATGTCTGCAGGGACGGTGAGGGTAAGCAGGTCTGACGTGTGTGCAGTGTGCCATTTGTGCACGTGTATCATGTACAGGCCTGTGAGATACATTTACGTTTGGTTTGTGAGTGGCGTGTATTTCTGCTGCATGTAAGGGTGTTATGCTAGTCATGTATGTTGTGCATGTGTGTAAGGTGTGCGTTTACCTGTGATTTGTGTGTGGATAATGTGTGTGTAGTTTATGTGTGTGTGATATGTATGCCTTGTGTTTTGTGTATGGTCTGTGTGTACACATTGTGTTATATGCATTATATCTGTGTACTGTGTTTATGCATGTATTGTGTAATATGTATGTATATGTTTGTATGTATAGTATGTATTGTATTGTGTTCATTGTGTTATGTAGTGTTTGTGTGTATAGTATGTGGTGTTTGAGCTGTCTGTGGCTATGCGCCATGTCTGCCGGGACGGTGAGGGTAAGCAGGTCTGACGTGTGTGCAGTGTGCCATTTGTGCACGTGTATCATGTACAGGCCTGTGAGATACATTTACGTTTGGTTTGTGAGTGGCGTGTATTTCTGCTGCATGTGAGGGTGTTATGCTAGTCATGTATGTTGTGCATGTGTGTAAGGAGTGCGTTTACCTGTGATTTGTGTGTGGATAATGTGTGTGTAGTTTATGTGTCTGTGATATGTATGCCTTGTGTTTTGTGTATGGTCTGTGTGTACACATTGTGTTATATGCATTATATCAGTGTACTGTGTTTATGCATGCATTGTGTAATATGTATGTATATGTTTGTATGTATAGTATGTCTGTATTGTATTGTGTTCATTGTGTTATGTAGTGTTTGTGTGTATAGTATGTGTGTGGTGGTGTTTGTATGTATAGTATGTGTGATATGTATGTATATGTTTGTGTATGTATAGTATGTGTGCATTGTTATGGTCATTGTGTGTATAGTATGTGTGTGGTATGTTTGCATGTATAGAACATGTGTATGTATAGTATGTGTGCATTGTGTTATGTTCATTGTGTGTATACTATGTGTGTAGTGTGTTTGTATGTATAATATGTATGTTCTGTGTTTATGTGTGTGATATGTATGCATAATGTGTGTACTGTGTTATATGTATAGTGTTTCTGCATACTATGTAGTGTGTGTTGAATAAATAATAGCTCAGAAGAGGTGCCACTGTGTGAAAACAGTGGTTGACACACTGTTCATTCAAAAACACTTCAAATGTACAATCTTAAATGTCTTTGCGGCGTCTGGAGGTCACATGAATTGATGAAGTCAGATCTCAAAGTCTAGGCTGAGTGGCACATGTTGGAGTTGAATTCCTACCATCAGGGTTGTCTCCTAGGCGACAGCTGCATTCCGACTCATCCTCAGTCTAGAGCTTCCCACCAGTCTGCACTGCAGTAGCTCTCTCTTCAGGGAAACTGGGGCTACAGACAGGGCGACTATTCTGGCCTGACTATCCCCAGAGAGGGTGGTATTATTAACCACTTGGGCATATTTCAGCTTCACTAAGATACGGAAAATGTATTTTGTCTTTTCTCCTTTTGCAGCATCCTCCCTTCCCCTGTGTGTACAAGTTTCCAACCAGTGGCAGCCTCTTCCTGCCTCCTTACAGGGCAGGTCTACTGGTGACAGATTTCTTCAGTTTTCACTTTAGTAAAGTCTTGATTTTTCTCACCCTCTTGAAGTATATTTTCATTGAATAAAAAGTTATTGATTGACGAGGTTGTTTGTTTTCTGTAGCTATCAGATTTTCTGTATATTTTAAATGAACAAAAAAATCATAAAAGTAAACCGAAGCCCTTAGTGGAGGTGAAAGGTGCCAGTGTAATGGGAAAATTTGCTCTTTGATCCAGGTTTTCAGGCAGAGAGGAGGGCTGGGTATTGGTCAGTTGCTTCCCACATCATGCTGACCAGTGTGCTTTGCACCCACAGTGGATGGAGAGCAAGCCCACCGAGAAGATAAGCATCAGATGGAGAACCAGAGCTCCACCAAGAAAGGTAGGGTTGCCCCGCTGCACAGGGCTCCACTTTCTTAGACAACACCGACTACATGTGAGAGGATATTTTCTGTGGCACTAAAGTCAGAAATGTTCAGAAAAGGAAATAAAATTTTTTACATGATAATTAACTCTTCTCCTGACATCCCATAATTTAAATGCTATGATTAAGTTTAGCAACACTTAAACATTTGTATTTAGTCAATAAAGCTCATAAATGATAAAGGAGTAAAGGAAGAAAAAAGATATTTGCTTACTATGTGTATGCGAATAGACACAGCTGTATTGTTAACACAAAAGGGAAGAGATCTTCGTGACGATTTCTACTGTTTTTCTGGGACTGGTCTCATGTTGTAGCTGGTATCTATAAATACCTTCTTCTCCCCCAGGTGCTATTTGCCTTCATCAGGCACCTCAGTGGGTGGTGGGCCTTTACCTGGTGAGATAGCTATAGCTTAATTCCTGGGGTCTGGGTCATTTGTAATCTTGCCTGAATAGGGCTGTGGTTGCATCTCCTTGGCCTTAATCGTCAGGTAGGGGAGCACTAGAAGAGACATTGGCTTAGAGACTGAGAATGCCAGTCACCCTGAAAGAAGTCTTATCTTCTAACTTGCTGGAATCATGGCTGTTCCATCAGTGTCCAAGTGCCGGCCTCTGGAGCTAAGATACACAGACCAGCAGAGCCCAAGTTCACGAGAACAAGCAAAACTCTTTCTAGTGGGTCATTAGGGGTGCTGGTGAGTGGTACCTTTCTAGTGGGCCGTTAGGGGTGCTGGTGAGTGGTACTTTTCTAGCGGGTCATTAGGGGTGCTGGTGAGTGGTACTTTTTTAGTGGGCCGTTAGGGGTGCTGGTGAGTGGTACTTTTCTAGTGGGCCGTCAGGGGTGCTGGTGAGTGGTACTTTTCTAGCGGGTCGTTAGGGGTGCTGGTGAGGGGTACCTTTCTTTTTCCACCCCTTGATTCCCAGATTCATGAATCCTGCCTGTGGGAAAGCTAGCAGCAGGTTCTGGATGATGATTCAGAGCATACACAGCCTTCTGCAGAATCTTGTCCCAGCCCAGCAGAGGATGCTGAAACTGTGTCTTCCAAAGGACATCCCACCATTACATCAAACTCAGGGTAGAAACCTGTGAGGTCTATGAACACAGGCCCATTGCTGTATCTCTTGGCTGTGAACTGAGCTCCCTTTAAACAGTGTGTGGACAAGCATGATGGTGGGTTAGGCGTTCTGTAAACCCAGAGAAGCTGTTTTGGTAGAAGCATTACATCAAGGAAGGGGATATTCATAGCCAGAATAACTGTCTATCCAGTGAGTACAAATCCCTGCCCCGTCCATGATGGAAGTTTTCCAGTGTAATCAATCTGCCCCCAGGTTGATAGCTGAATACCCCAGAACCTGCCTTCTTGTGGGCTCAACATTGACAGATTGGGCACTGAGCCTGACCATAGCTAGGTCAGGCATGGTGAGTGGAATTTGTGCTGCTGGGCCCACATGTGACTTCTGTCAACTTTCTGCCGCTGTGCGTAGCTTAATTTATGGAGATGTTGATTGATTTCTTCTTCCACAAGCTCTCAGTTTTCTGTTATACTGATGACGTCATGCTGATTAGACTGCATGAACGGAATGACCCACTGGAACCTTCCACCCTTCTCTGGAAACATTCTTGCAGTCACATACAGAAGTAGCCATTACCAGTTTTCTAAATGTTTCTCAATTTAGTCACGCTGACAACAGAAAGGAGCCTTCATAATGTCTATACTGGATTATCGTACTCATTACCATCTTACAATGGGCCAAAGGGTGGTAAATCATTTTTTAAAATTCAACTTTGTGGAACTGAACTTCAAAACCATTATGGACCCATGACCCTCTTTTCCCTTTAGGGGACTGTGATGTTTGTAGTTTTGCCCCATGCCTGCCCCGCTGCTGAGGGGCAGCTGTAGGGCAGCGTGTGTCTTGTCCCCTCAGTTCCACAGATGGACACTGCCCTGTTGCTCTGCTCCAACAAAGGGTCCTCTGGACCCAGTTTAGATGATGAGATTTTGGAGCTTGCACTAATGATCTTTTGATAAAGTTCAAGTTTAGGATAATATTGTGATGAGATGAGGATTTTGGAAGCTTGGGACAGGCTCAGTGTGTTTTGCCTGTGGGATGAACATGAATCTTTTGGGGGCAAATGATGGACTACAGTAGGCCAAATTCTAAGATTGCCCCTAAAATTCCTGTACCCTGGTATATACGAAGTTTCCAGTTATTTAGGCAAACACTAAGCTTGGTGCTGTTTAAAGGGGCCTCTCTGATGCCATCATGGCCCCAAATCTTAGGGAAATTATCAAGGTACGAATGATCTAATCAAGCAAGTCTTTTACAGCTATGGTTAGAGGTCATAGATGGAGCAGTTAGAGGAACGCAAGATATGAATGGATTCCCTAAGACAGAGAGATTCCCACTGCTTGTACCGGAGCTGGACAAGGCCATGCAGATTATCTGCACTTGTTTGGGGGTTTCATAAAAATAGATTCCCACAGTAGACAACCTTTGGTGCTTGGCTGAGTATGTTTTGCTAAAATGACTCTGGGTTGCTGAGTGTATCAGCACCTCCTTCCTTTTAAATTCCAACTAATTAGCTCTGCGTTAATATGCCACAGTGTGTCCATCCTTTCTAAACATTCTGCTGTTTTGAATAAAGCTGCTACAAACATTTCTCTACAAGTCTTTTTGTGAACATATATTCATTTTTCTTGGAAAAATATTATTCTTCAAAGTAAACATTTCTTTCCACTGAATTACATTAGCACACTTATTCAGAATCACCCAGGGACTGAGGAGATAGTCCAGTCAAAAAAGTGCTTGGCCCACAAGCAGGAGCCTGAGTTCCAATCCCAAGCACCTATATAAACAACCAGATGAGGTGGTGCATGCTTGTGATCTTTTCGCTAGGGAGGCAGACATAGGAGGGTCCCTGGAGCTCAGTCAGTCTTGCAATGTAGTGATCTCTAGGTTCAGCAAGACACACAGCCTCAGAAATAGGCAGAGAGGAATAGAGGGAAAGACTGAACATCGACCTCTGGTCTCCACACATGTGCACATACAACCCCCACCAACATGTATAAGCATACACACACACATACACACACATACACACACATTCTCTCTCTCTCTCTCTCTCTCTCTCTCTCTCTCTCTCTCTCCCCCTCCCCCTCCCTCCCTCCCTCCCCCCCTCATTTATTCCAAACATTTAACCTTAGATGTACATTGTTTCTGGACTTCCCACTTTCTTCCCCTGATGAGTTTGCTTGGTTTTATGCCAATTCTGCAAGCATTATACTCATTTGATATTTTCTCAGTAGGTAATTATATTTTTAGTGCAATTTTTCCCTACAATGCGAAGATGTGAGTTTCTCAATCAGAGCTGTCTTATAAGTTTGAAGATTAGAATAGTTTGAGAGAAGATACATTTGCTGTTCTGTTCTTAAAGAAACTTTCTTCCAAAGGAAACCTAAAATATTTATTAAGGTCCCTCTAAAATGAGTCAAAGCTTTTGCAAAGTGATTTAATTTTCTGGGACATTCTAACAGGAGCTATATCTGAGGGTTTTGTAGACTTATCATACCTGTCCGACGTATACCTTCCTATTATATGGTATTTCTCTGAGGACATTAGTACAGTGAGATTTAACTTCTTAGCTGGGGTTCTGCATGCCTGTACTTTTGCTGCGGCTGTGTTAATAATTGGAATGCTCTGTCCAACTTCCCAGTTCCAGGTCTCTGTTCCTTTCGCTATGGACTGGCCGTCCTTCTGCATTTCTGCAATACTGTCATCATGGCCCAGCGGGTGTGTCTGAACCTCGCAATGGTAGCCATGGTGAACACCACGGAGCCACAGGGTTTACCCAACACATCCACAGTAGAGAAGCTGGATGACGTCAAGGTATATTGAAATTATTGAAAGCGTAAGGTTAAAACTTCACACGTAAAAAAGCAGTTCAGGTCTCGCTCTGCCAGTGATGACCACAGTGAGTGTGCCCCTGGGTAGAGCATGGCTCAATGTTCCTGAAGGGCTGTGGCACATCTGTAAGGAATATCAAAACCCTGGAGTCGGAGCTCCTTTGGAATAAGAAGTTTGGAAGAGAGAGAGGCACTTTAAATTGGAAATGAAAGATGTGGCTAATACTGATTGTCAACTTGCCAGGATCTAGGATCACCTAGACAAGCCTCTGAGCATGTCTGTGAGGGAGTTTTTAGATTAGGATAGTTGAGGTGCGAAGACTCACTCTGAATATGGGTGGCACCACACTGCTTTTGTCAAGTACCTTGTGACAACAATGTGAAAAGTGAGCAGTAGTCTGTGCAGAACAGAAATGAGTCCCATGTCTAGGCTGAGTGTCACCCTCATGATATAGCCCGTCTGTGAGACACCCAGTTTCAAGTCACACATCTGCAATGGAACCTTTACACCCAAGGCTCAGGGAACACAGCAGAACAGGAGGTAGAGAGGACACTGACACATCTCTCAATTCTCACCAGTGAAGCTTCCCTCATGCAACAGACACAGAAGGGCAGGCACAACTGGCCAAAGGTAGAGGATAAGAGACTGCAGAGTGCGTGTCCCTGGACAGGACTCCTGTATTAACCCTCACCCACCCAAGGCTCAGGGACCATTGCAGATGAAGGGACAGAAAGACTGTAAGAGCCCGGGGGGTGGGGCATGACCACAAGGAAAGAGAATTTTCCAGGCTTTTAAGAACTTGCACGTATGAATGTACAATGGTGACAAAACCCATAGAAACTCAAAGCAGAAAAAACTTAGCATAGAACTGGAGAAATGGGCAGGAGGCCCCCAACCTTAGCCAAGGAGCTATATGAATGTACAATGGTGACAACATGCACAAAACCCATAGAAACTCAAAGCAGAAAAAACTCAGCATAGAACTGGAGAAATGGGCAGGAGGCCCCCAACCTTAGCCAAGGAGCTGTTGGCAACTGATGACTGCTGGGTGAGGGAGTGTTGGTCTTCTTTAAAGGAGTGATGCCAGATAGGCTGACCAGGCTCCAGTGGATGAACTCACACCAAGGGACATTTGAGCGCACAAACTTGACTGGATAGGCCTTAACATATAAGACAGGATGTGGGCGGGCTATGGGATGGTACAGTTAGGGGGAGGGGTCTAAATATGTTTTATATTTTATTTTCATTATTTTTATATGTATGATTGTATTACCTGCATGCAGGTAATACACCCATGTCAGGCAGTGCTCACGGAGGTCAGAAGAGGGTGTCAGATCCTATGGAACTGGAACTACAGATGGTTGTTAGTCACATGTGTGTGCTGGGTTCCGAATCCGGGTCCTCTGCAAGAGCAGCCAGTGCTCATAATTGCTGAGCCATCTCTTCAGAGCCAAGTCTAACTATGTTTAAGATGTATGAAATGCACAAAAATTCAATAAATGTATATATCGGAAAATAATCCCTAAATCCAAAAGAATATGAAATATTTCTAGTCCTAGGGGTTTCAGAAAAGGGATACTCAACCTGTGATTGAAGGCATCAGCGATAAACTGAAAACGTGAACATAAAATCACGTTATAAGAGAATAAAGGGATTCTGCGACAGAAAAAGGAAAATGAGAGGAGGGGGAGCTCCTCTACACAGACTCTGCGGGAAGACACACTCTCCGAATCCCTGGGCGCCGCAGGACGTCTCCAGCACGCTGGCTGTTTAGACTCATCTCCCCGTTCTTTCCTTTCAGAGCCCCGTGTATAACTGGAGTTTGGATAGCCAGGGGCTCATCCTCAGCTCCATCTTCCTTGGGATGGCCGTGGCTCAGATTCCTGTCGGTTATCTCTCTGGAATATACCCCGTGAAGCGAATGATCGGCTCTACGCTGCTCCTCACCTCTGTGCTGTCCCTGCTCACCCCAGCAGCCGCTCAAGTCGGAGCAGCTTTGGTCATCGTGTGTCGAGTACTCCAGGGAATCGCCCAGGTGTTGAAAGAGTGTTAAAAGCACACAGGGTTTGGAGCTGGAGTACGTATCAGAGCTCAAACACCTCATCTTTTCATTTTAGGGGACAGTATCAACGGCCCAGCATGAAATATGGGTCAAATGGGCGCCTCCCCTGGAACGAGGCCGGCTCACTTCTCTAAGTCTGTCAGGTGAGGAGACATGGCCAAGTCTCACCTCCTCTCTCCTGTCTCCTGCCGAGATAAGAATGTGTGTTTTGAATCATTGCTAGGGGCTTCAGAACAGCCCTTGCTTTGAAAGAAGGTTGGGGCTAAGGAGATGGCTCAGTGGGTAAAGGGCCGGCCACGGGAGCAGGAGGACTGAGCTTGGATACCCAGCACCTGTGCAAACAGCCAGACGTAGCAGATCACGTGTGTGACCAAGTACAGGTGACTCACAGACAGATGGATCCCCAGGAGCATCTGGCCAGGGAGCCTGTCGCAAATAGTAAGCTCCCAGTGCAGTGAGAGACCCTGTCTCAGTCATGTCAAGAAAACCCTGGACATCATCCAGTGGCCTCCACACTCACATCCACATCCACAAACACCCACACACATGCATACACCAGAGAGAGAGAGAGAGAGAGAGAGAGAGAGAGAGAGAAAGAGAGAGAGAGTTGTTTAGAATGGACATGAGGCATCCTGACCTCAAACAACAGGAAGAGAAAAGAAAACATTTTGTTCTTTCCTTCTGCACATCAGACAGCTGTGCAAACGTACTCCTCAGGAGATGGTTCACAACCACGCTGAGGCTACATTAGCTGTTTTCAGAGGGCTTTGTTAATTTAGCAAGGATGTCCTACATGCCTTTTCACTAGGGTTTTTAATGGGACCCTTCATCGTCCTGCTTGTGAGTGGATTCATCTGTGAACTTCTGGGCTGGCCCATGGTCTTCTATATTTTTGGTGAGTTTCTTTCTAGTAAATATCAGTCATGCATTGAAATTTATAAAGGAGTAAAAAACCAATATAATGCAATACTTCATATGAAGTCCGTTTTTACAAATCATACACTTCACTGAGGGAAAGAGGTCAATATCCATGATGTGCTTATGGCACACACGGGCTCATCAGAACTGCATAGTCTTGTACCTATGACGTACGTGTTCTAGTCTGTATATCTTATGTGAAATCTGGGGATGGGGGAAAGATCACAGTAGTTAAATTTTCGGGTTTCTGAAGGGTCGTATGATGAGCTTATTCTTAATACTCTTTGCCCCAAGCAGAATTTCCTCCTAACCAACTTCAGGGAGGAAGGGTTTGTTTCTGTTCACAGTCCATCATGTCAGGGAAGGCATGGTGGCAGGGGTGGGTGTAAGGCGGCTCATCACATTGCAACTGTGCTGGATAGCTTTAGTTGTCAACCTGACACACCTGGGTTGAGGGAGCCTCAATTAGGGAATTGCCTCCATTGGACTGGCCTGTGGCCGTGTCTGTGAGGTGTTTTCTTGATTGTTGTGTGATGCAGGAGGACCCAGTCCACTGTGGGTGGTGCCACCTCTGGTAAGATTGTTCTGTATTATATAAGAACTCAAGCGGAGCACGGGGGTTGGTGGGGGGCAAGCCAGTAAGCAACATTCCTCCAAGGCCTGTGCTCCAGCTCCTGCCTCCAGGTTCCTGACCTGAGTTCTTACCTTGGGCTCCCTGATGAACTGTGACCTGGGAGATGTAAG